GAGAAAGAGAGAATGAGAGAATGTTTGAAATAGCGACGATGAACTGAGGTTGCCTTATAACTATCGAGCCTATAATATATATAAATATATATATATATATATATATAAATAGAAAAATATATTATTGCAAAGATCATCAACGACGATGAAGGGAAAAATATTAAAAAATAAAAGGAGGAATGAAGGAAGAGCGTGTATGAATGCGTGTGTACGTATGTATGTATGTATGTAAAAGAGAATAAAAGAAAGATTGTGTGTAAAAGAGTGATATATGTATACCAGTAGAAAGAAAAACGTACTATTATTATTTGAAGAGAATAGGGAGAATAGGGAGAAAAAAGAGAGAGAAAGAGAAAGAGAGAGAGATGAGAAAAAGGGAGAGAAGAGAAATTTATCGTACGATCATTAGTATTAAAATACCTGCTGTATGAATGTAAGAGAAAAGAAAGCTATTATATAATTTTATCTATTATTATTAATTATTATTAATTATTAATTAATATCCTCTATTATTATTATTATTATTATTATTATTAATATTATTATTATTATTATTATTAATTATTATTATATTATGAATGAGTATCGGAACCACACATCTTATGTAGCTGTGATTTTGCTTTCGAACAAGTAAAGATTAAAAATATTTATAGCAACGAATGGTATTTTGTTATTTCATCGATATATAATGCTTATTTCCTATCGAAATAGTAGAAGTAGTCTCAGATTTATTGAGGTTGTTAATTAGAAGTTAACAAGATTTTTAATTAGAAAACAATCACGGAATATCACTGTTTTTTTAAACGCTCACGATAGACCAGTTCATATTGGAAAATCACCAATAAATGAAATGTAACATCATTTCATAATTTATCTTTCAACGTTTTATTAAATAATTTAGACCTTCGATTTGTCGAGAAAGAAAGAAAGAAATCGTGGAGGAAGCAATAATCGTGTCAAGATAATTGAGAATAAAAATAAGTAAAGGTAAATGGAAATATTATCTCGAACGATGGA